GGAATGTGTGAGATCTGACAGGAAGTGTGTGTATGGGAGGCAGGAGTTCATCTGACACGGTATACAAACGTGTTTACCCCCTTGTGTTCATCCTGAAGGCACAGGACTGGATGCTGGCCGATGCAAGTTCTCACCATGGATTGTTATCTAATAGTCAGCATATTGGGATACATACATGGGATGAGCTGCTGCCATGCCAATGAAATCTAGCACTGAACTAAAATATAAGAGAGAGGCTGCTCAGAGTGTGTGCTGGAGGAAGTACAGCAACCCAGATTCACACACACTGATACAGTAGAAGAGAGGAGAGAGACATCCTGCAAAATAAGAATCTTCTCTTCTTAGGCAGTGTTCCAGAGCACAGTGGTCAGAGACAGGGAGAAGGAGAGTGTGACACAGGAGGAGAGAGAGAGAGAGAGAGTGAGAGTGAGAGTGTGTGTGTGTGAAAAAGTGAGTGAGAGACCCGCGTAAACGTCATCTGCCTACTGGAATACGGACTACAAGCATACGAGCACCGGCCGGAGGAGGGACAGTGGCTCCACTGTGTACCCGGACAGAGAATCACTGTGGTATCGGACAGGAACCCATTGCCGTCAACGGGGCAACAGGAGCGGGGCTGAATGCTGGAAGACACCCCGGAAAGTGGCACCAGGAGCAGCTGTTAGTGAGTGATTGAGGGGCGGGGGGACATGGCTTCCTCTCCGGTGACCCCAGCATCGCTCGAAGGAGAGACACCTTCACCCATCGGGAACGAGGGCCCCGCTACAACCCGACAGGTACACGTCTGTGCACCCCTTTCATGTCCGATGACGTTCCGACCTACCGAACTTCGTTTGAAAACATATCAGTTTAACTCTTACTCGGACATCTGCAAAGACACATGCGTGCAAGAGCGTGATTTCACTCATAGCCTGAGTCAGCAGAAAATACCCTCTAATTCGGCAAGCATTTAACACTTAAACAAGCGCTTGAATTGAAATAACATCTATGGTTTCTCAAGTATTTACGTCCGATAGAATAAACACTGATGGGTTTTTATTAAGCTGCATGACTCGCTATAAAAGTTCAGATTTTATTCAAATGAGTGCCACTTGGTGAATTCAGTGCACGCCGAATTTCACATAAGACCTAAAGACATGCGCGAGCGCCTACGTCATTCGATGTCACGTATGTATATTAGCTGATGTCCGAGGAAACATAAACGCGATAGATTTTCAATGGAGTTTGGTGTGACGTATTGGCGCTGCTTGTACGTCGCTGCCAGTGATCCTGAAGTGCTGGGAGAGAGTTTATAGAGACAGCAGGCACTCGCTGGGAAGGCGTTGCCCTCAATGTGACACTTGCATGGACGTCCAAATGACTGCTGGAAAGTCATTAAGTTGCCCTTGCCAATCCTGTTACTGCTGTCTATCCAGAGCCACTGATGGTGTGTGGGCTGAAGAATTCTTCCTGATTATACTAAGCTAGATTTACAGTATTTTGCCCCCTCAGTGCTTGCAAATTCACTTTTGGCTCATTTTTTGCATTTTTTATTCATAGTCTGGAGTACATTGACATAGAAATGATTCTATTTCCTTTCCATCAGCCTGCCAAACAGCAGGTTACGGTGTGCCACAGTGAATGAGTCACACACAAGAGAGCCAGCGTGTGCCTCTGTCAGATAGCGTTAAACACAGTGAGTGCTCTGACACTCATATATAGCCCGATATAGAGCATGTTGTCTTGGTAAAGGTGACTTTATTTACAGCCTGCTTCAGATTGAGCCCCTCACAACAGGTGTAAGGTGGTATCAGTGTCACCAGTCTGGCGGCTCTGATGTCCTAATGTGTACACACGGCTGCAGGGACAGGAATGCAAAGTGAATGCCAGATGTACAGCTTAGACTGCCTGTCCTCAAACCTGGGGCATCAGAGAGTCTGTGAGATCAGATCTGGAGCTGGAATTTGCTGTAATCCTGCACAGTGATGGCAGTGAACAGCACACAGCATGTTCAGGTTTATCATGTCTTCCCTGTTATGTGTTAAACCATGGTAAAGCCTTCTCAGTGTTTGGCAAATAGAGAATTAAGTGGACACGATTAATGCCATTACAAGGAGTATGCTATCTGTTCTGATAGGAAGTCCTGTAATGGCTCACTACAAGGTAACTGTATACACTATACACCTGTTACTTGTGGTAATTCAGATAGTATTTTACAGATGCCGCCTGTCTTTACTGTGTTTTTCCTCCTGTGGTATTCACAACCTCCAAAGTGAAAGTTTTCTGAAAGCTCAGAGTTCACAATTTCACGCAGGCTCGACCACTTCCCATGTCGTAACCACAAGCTCACGAGTTCCATTTGAAGGCAGCTTTAAAATAACATTTTGGAGCTAAACCTTTTAATGGAATTGCTACAATCAGGGAATCTGCTCGAGGGCTAGATCTGTCGCAGTCAGCTACATGGTGAACTTTACTTGTGAATTCACACTATTGACCAGTAGCAAATGATTTTCACAGTGGTGACTTTTTAGGGGGGATCAATGAGTCTGAAACAGCTATCATAGCTTATTAGCTCTTATGTAACCCTGCTGCCCTGCACCACTTAAAGTACCAGTGTGTAGGATTTAGTGGCACAACCTCTTTTCCATGGGACTGAGTTTCACAGCTTTTGCTTGTTGTCATTTGTTGTGTCATTTGTTCACCTTCTCACGTTTTGTTATTTAGCTTGGTGTGGCACAGTCATTGGCATAGATTGATGGTGCTCACCTACTAGCTCTGTGGATAGTCACTTCACCAGCAAGCTTTGGGCACCAACGATCTTGCAAGCACACCTGGAGGAACTTTGCTCTTTGCTTCCTCCCATCATGACCTATTTGACAGCAAGATATTGATATTGGCTCAATCGGGCAGGCAGAGTGTTGCTACAGCAGATGTTTCTGGCAGGTTGGTTACAAAGTTGTGTTTTGGACATCGGAGTTGTGATAGAAAGGCCTGAGAGGCAGAGCTGTGGGCTCCACAGCTACCACACTCAGTCATGGTGTGCCTGTTGTCTATTAGCCAGTGTTTTCCATTCAACCACAGTTGCAGTATTTCCTGTAAGCACTCCAAATAACCACTGAAGCACTGCACTGTTATGAACATATGAGTCTGGATGTTTCAACCTGTCATTTACAGGAAGTTTTTATACATGGATTTTAATGCCAAAGAAGAAGCTACAGTACATTAACGTCATATGATACAGAATCAGTTGGAAAATCTGTTTTTGTGGGTGCTTTATGATTAGGACCTGAAAAAGAATCTGCACATTTCCCTTTCGGTCTTTGAATGTTGACCATTTCCTTTCCTGTGTGCCTTAATAGAGCTTGTGCTGAGGCCAAATCCTTTTAGTGCACAGGCCTAATAATCAAATATTTAAGGTGTGTGACCATGCAAGGCCTGCCTGATGCTGTTTTTATTTCTGTATTGTTTGGGGATTTTACCACATCGATACTTGAGATCTCAAGTTTTTGGCTTTCAAATCTCAGTTTTTAGGCAGTCAGGTCTTAAGTAGATTCTCAGAGCAGTCATCTGCAAGTCTTAAGTCCTCATTTTAGTGATTGAAGGTACTGTGTGAAGTTTCTTCAGTTAGTGCTATTGGGTAATGTTTTGATCAGAGGGTCCCTGTTTTGTTTGTGTCTTGTGTGCACATGTACATGCACTAGTATCCCGGCTCAGGCAGGGCCTTTCTGTGTGGAGTTTGCATGTTCTTCCTGTGTTTGCATGGGTTTCCTCTGTGTGCTCCAGTGTCCCCCACCATCAGTAACATATATGTTAGGTTAATCCTCCAGTCTGTGCCCTTGACCAAGGCACTGGCTCAGATCTGGCCACTGCCTCTACTACTTAGAGTGGGTCAAATTCAGAAAAATACATTTCCCTACAGGATCAGTAAAGGATAATTTAGCAGGCAAGTGACCCGTCCTGGTCTGGCCATCGGGAGCACCGGGAGAATTCTCTGGGACCTGGTCGTCTGATTGGCACCGGAGTGTCAGGCAAGGTATTAAAAGGAGAAAAGCCCTGGTGGAAAGCACAGCGAAATACTGCAAATCAGATATGTACACAAGGAAGGGACATGGCTAGTGTTAAAATCATCAGCATGTCACAACTACCCAACTACTAAAGAGCTGCGTACTCTTTTCTGTCAGGTGGAAGTAGGTCTAGTCACTCAGAGGTAGCAGAGCTTCATGATGATCAAGTCCAGTCTGAGCGTTGAGCACATACCAGCTGCTGAAGTGCACTATAATGATATGAAAATTTGTCCCCGCAGGATTAATTACGTAAATGCCCTGCCCTTGACTAACTCCTGAAATTGAACACTTTTTAAAACTATTTTTGAAGCAGTTTCTGTGTGTAGTAAGTCTGAAAGATATATTACTACCATAAACAGGAAACAGAAAAACTCAACTAAACAGCTGCAGCATTGCTTTTCAAACTTTTTGTGTCCAAAGGGGACACCAAAATCCCAAACACTCATTTCAATCAGCAAAAACATGAGCAAATATATTTAAATGACGTTAGCACAATAAAGATGAGAAAACGTCTTTGGCGATTAGACCCCATTATGACGTGGAGTATAGACACTGGTGGTGGTGGAACGAAGAGAGTGCTGAAGATCTGGTTGTGGAGTAGACTTCTGATAAGCTCAGCCTGGGCACTGGATATGATGAACTGGAGGTGAACTGGGTGGAGGAGAGTCGCAACGATTTTGCACTGAAATGACAGCTGAAAGCAGCAGAGAGGAGAACAGATTTTGATAACAACAACATGATTGGCTAGAGGAGATTTTGGCTGAGTCTGATTAGTTTAACTGAAAGGATAAACGCCCATAGTGACTCATAGAATGAATGTGACATAATGAGATAGTGACCTTGTGCTGAACTTCATATCACTCTCATCACTGTAAACATTTAGTTTGATTTACTAACAGGTATCATTCAGTTAATGAATTATTGTTGTTCTTGGCTGTTTTAGTCTTGTATGTGGTGGCCTAAACTGTTTAAAGCCAGAATAGTGAATTTAAGAATTTCTAACTTTGGCATCCCCTAGTGGTAGTTTAGAAAAGACACAGATTGGTCTCTGCGACTCTAAATTGAACAGTCTGAAAGCAACACAAAGATTTTTTACCAAGATTGTCTAATTTTCTACACTTCGGCAGGCCATCAGAACTAGTTTAGAGAAATGCTATAATCACATAAAATCCCTACAGATAGGGGCTTTAAACCTGTATACACATTGACATAATGACGTCACGAGCCACTCAGGAAGCCTTAGACTTCCTTGAGGCTGTGCTGCCATGAAGAACAAATGAGCTTCTTCCCTCCGTTTCACCTCAGAAGCTCAGGCCTAAAACAGAAGCGAGTTCCTGTTTGTAGCTATCGCAGCCTTCAGGTTATTAATCTCTGTGTGTGTGAAAGTGGAGTGATTAACATTGCAATCAGGAGTGTGAGGCTGTGATGACGGACAGGGCAGTTAGAGGGGGGTGGAGGTGTAATTTACCACCAGGTCTGCTCCTGCAGAGGAGGACATCTGCCACTCTTTTTTTTTTTTTTGTCTTAGCCAAGGTCAGATTGTGATGGGGGGAAATCAGGCTGTGTCAACGGCGGCAGCGTGATTCTGCAGAAAGAGAGGCACAGATATAAACAGAAAGAGCGACAGAGGGGAGAAGAGAAAATGCGGTTCTTCAGTGGTGATCAGTTAAAGGATGTTAATGTGATAGCCACTAGGCTTCAGTTTCCATCTGCCACTCAGTGAGAAATATTGG